AAAGTCTCTCAATGTAAAAAAAGATATTAATATGTTCGCAAACTATATAAAAATAAATATGAATGTCTGTGTTTTATAATTATAATCATTCCTGAATGAAAAAACATAACTAAATATCACTAAATCAAATACACGTGATTAGATTAATGTAAAATATATTTCTGTTAGAAAGAGAGAGAGAGAGAGAGAGAGAGAGAGAGATATGATTCAATTATCACATTTGCTTATTCCCGATTCCTATTGATATTTGAATTTTTTACGGATTAGCGAACTCGACCGCGTAGCAACGGATGGAAATCATTAAGTTGGAAGACTTGACGGTTTTTTGTGTGCAAACATCGTGCGAGGTAGTGAATGCGGAAGAGCTTAGTGGAATTTGCGCGAATATCCTGATTTGCATGTGCTTCACAGTACACAGATGGGAGAAAACGTGTTTTGGAATTATGATTTAAATAACAAATCGCATGGATTAAACGAATAACTATGAACTGCTGAGATGTGATCTCACTAATTTTGTCATGAAAAGAAAAATTTTAGAATTTTATACTACTTTAGTATTAAGCTATTTTAATAAATCATATAAGGTAAACATCCCAGTGTCAGGACTCTACCTATGTCCGGACACTTACACAAAATTTATTATTATTATAATCTCAAATGCTTTTTTTATTACAGTATTATAATTTAATTGCATTTAAAGATTACAATTAAATTATAATATTATGTTTTAAAAAGCATATTTGAGACTAATATTAACTTAAATAAATAAAGTGTTATGTAAATGGACATAGGTTATGTCCGGACATAGGTACATGTCCAGTCACTGGGATCGGACAGTACCTATGTCCGGACAGTTACACAAAACTTTATTTATTTATATTAATATTAATGTCAAATGCTTTTTTTACCTTAAAGATCAATTTGAATTAGTTGTCTTTTGTCATTGAACATCTATTTATATATTATTATTTTCCGTCAGCATATTAATTTTCCAATTGTGATCGGACACTGGGACAATTACGTCTCAGTGTCCGACCGATTTGTCCGGCCAAGTGGTACATTGACACATTCTATTATTTAAATATTATTTAAATATTTTAATTAATAATTGTTATAAGTGGGTTCAAATAATTTTTCCTTGCTTAAGGGAGTCTTGAGTTTTCAAACGAATATTTATATTAAAAACCTTTCTGATATTATAAATTGTATTATTTATGAGAACCTAACGTCCGACTACTGGGATATTTATATATGTATAATAAAACACACGTGTTATTTTACTCAATGATATATGTAAATTACGTACATTGCAAAAATTATAAGCAGAAATCTAATATCAACGGAATTATATTATGCAAATCTGAAATAATAAGTTATGCATTTTAAAACGCATAACTTGTTTTAATGCCAGGTACGTTAGGTCAAACCACAAAAAGTTAATTGTACAAAATTGCTTTTACAATTAAACTGTAATTTTCCAGCATTAAAAATTCAATACTACTATTATAACTAGTAACTATAACCGACTACTATAATAACTGACCTTCTATTTAGTGACGTATAAAATAAATATAGGCAAAAGATAATAATGCATAGATTAACATTGTAAAGATACATCAAGATGTACGTTATTATACAAGATGTATGAGATGCAGAAGATATAGTCTAATTATCTTTTGATTCTTAAAAAAGTAATTTAAATTATATATACAATATAATTTTATAAATAACATTTTATATTTAAAAACAAAACATCTCTTCTTCAAAAAAATATTTCTTCTTTGAGAAATTAAAACATAATTTAATCCTCAAATTTATATTAAAAAAATTGTATTTACGAATAGATTTCATATATGCAAAGTCTATAAGATTAAAACGAGGACAACAAATAAATAAATCTCCTTTACTTGTTAATATCCTCAATATGCAGTGTTCTCGATCTCACGAACTTTAATCGCACTTCTATGACTCAACTTGAATTTTAATTAAAACTAATTATAATATCAAACACAATGTTGTTATCACAAGCTATAATTGTCTGTTTGTTTAGCTCTCTTTACCTCTGGGAAAATTTGTACATTCAGTATTACGATGACGTTTACACATAGTAGTAAGGCTATAGCGAATTACCGCGGACGTCACATTGCCATTTTGCTTCCTCGCTGACAGAAACCACCGTCACACCCGGAAATTATGTGGCGTGAATTCAGTGCCTTAACGTTCGACAGCCTGTCTGAGTACATTTTCCGGCGCTACATGTTAGTCGTTGAAGTCTCGCGAAAGCACGACCTCCTTGACGTTTTAAGATCGTATATTATCGCGTTACAGAAGTTACACACATGACATTTCCTGTATGCATGTAAATCGTAACCGGCAAATAGTTTCATTTTAAATTGGCTAATACAATGTAGTAATAAAATTGATAACAATGTTAATACTTAAAGTAGCATTAATTGAGGAAAAAAAATTTAGACAGAATTTTTATAAATTAAATGACATAGAAACGACTTAATTTAGATAAACGTCTCATCATTTGCATTTATTTCACAATCTGACATCAATTAGTTAAATTGTTATATTTGCAAATTTTAATTATTTTGTCAAATATATTTTCTTTTATAGAACGTTATTTCTGTTCACAAATTATAATCCTCTTCATCTCTTGTAAAAAAAATGCGTTATTGAATAATTGAAAAGAAAACAGTTTGTAGTCTATATGAATATGCATATTATACACATATATATATATATATATAATTCGAAGAATACTTAATGAATAAATAATTGCATATTTTGAATCCATAATTATCAACTAAACAATACTCCGTATTCAATTAATATGGCTAATTCTATTCTGAGAATGTAGATATATAATGTTCGACGTAGCGACAGACTACGTCATACAAGATGCAGGACTTTAAAAATATACGTCAGACGCGAGTTGCAACTCGCCAATAACATTTTTTGCTATCACATTCTTCCGTATGTTCTTCTATAACTTTAATCGGTGTGATTAATTACCTATCATTTATCTATTAATATAACAAGATTTATATGTTAATTTTACTACGGCAAAAATTTCTCTCTAAAATATTTTAATATTTAGAATTATATAATCCTGAATATATTACTTAATTAAGATCTTTATTTCGTATAACGTTATATAATCACACCAGTGGTCAATTCAAATTTAATGTGCTAATCAAAAGTATCTTCAAATAATGTAAATGTTATATTTGGCGTTAGTTGCGAACGAATCAGTACACGTGCGGCCTTTTTTGCATACGTAGATGGAAATGTGATTCGGTTGACGACACAATGCCAAATGCAACATTTTTCCGTTAGTCGTACTTCTTGAACGTTGACGAGTGAGCGACGAGTGTCACATTCGGCGCCGGGCTGACTTGCGAAACAGCGGCGCCGCAACGACGTCGTTCGAAAGAAAGAAATAAAAAGCGGAAAGGGGGTGCACGATAAAACGACGTGCGTGGGCGGCCGAAACGACGGACAAGAGACGAGATGCAGCAGGGAGGCCGCGTGCAAGAAATAGAGAGAGGGATGGAGATGCATTCGATGAAGGCGCTATCGTGGAGCAAATGACAATCCGAATTTCCGTCATTACATGAGCGGCTTGTGCATTTTTTTTACAGACACGCCCGGTTGGCGCCGAAACCATTGATTAAACCCTGGCGCCGACCCATTTTTCCCCTCTCGCGACCTGCTCTCCCTACTTTCTCCAGCTTTTCCCCGATCCTCTCAGACGACATGCGCCTCGTATGAGGCAAACTTTTTGGCAACGGAATACACTCGCGTTATTGCCGCACCGATTGAGAATCACTGGGATCACTTGGCTCTCCGGACTAATCCATAAACACCGTTCTCTCATGCAGCGTCGCAGCATTCTACAGCGTACGGGGGTTTAGAGCCGAAAGTCGACACTCGATAAAATACGAACACGACACACATCGCTCGTGAAACTTTTTTTCCTGTGATATTGACATTGCGATGCTTCACGCGAGAGTATGACTCGATCAGATTACGATTTGATGGAAATACATTTCCTCTATAGAGACAGCAAGGCAAACCGCACTACACGAAACGGAATGTAAAAATGATATTATACTGATTGTTTCAATAAATTTTTCTTTATCATTTTCCTTCGTGTAATTACAATAAATAAATTATTTTATTGTTAATTGTGTGTTTCTCAATCAGTAAACGTGGAAGAAAACTCAATGATAGAAAATAAATCTGCAGATTCTCAAGTGAATAGGTATGATACAATACATTATATATTTAATACATAAATATGTATGTAAATGTATATTTTTTAATGGTAAAATTGCAAGAGAATAGTTCTCGGCCACAAAAACGATCTCGCTTATCAAGAGATGATATTAAAAAAAAAATTATAGACACGTAGAACGACGAAGAAAGAGAACATGAAATTCTTTTTATCAAAATAATCGTTAGATTCTTATCCCTATTACCTTCTGAACTATTTTGCGATGATTTTTACATAATTGGAATAATTTACAATTCAGCTCATAAGCCAATAATCAATCTGAAGCTAAATTTTTTAAATTGTATGATATAACATTAAAATATTTTCAAGAAATACAATTTAATATTGCACTTTAAGAATTAATTACAATTATCCCCATATATTTTTCATACATTTTTTTAATCCGCGATTATCTTAAATATTGCTCAAACGCATTTAAACTTCCCGCTTTGTTACTTCTTTTTAAGAGTGGGAATTTCAGTATCAAGAGTTGATAATGTCAATGTTGGTATTTGTCTCTAGTTATATTTAAGAGGCTACACGCTCTAACATATGTGTAGTAACTGACAGTGATAATTCAGAGATGGTTCAATAAAATCGTGTGTCATAAACGATTAAGTGAAATTCCTTGTTTTAAAATTGAATAAGGAAGAGAATTCTCTTGAACTAATTGATATTTAACTAATTTTCGAATGTTCGTGCTAATACATTTGCTTTAAACAATAAACGGATCAAATATATATAAATTTCATGTGGATAATCTAAATATTGTTACGGATGTGACGTTCGCAATAATAGAGTTACAAATAATATTTTTAATATATACGCGTCCAATTAAATATTGAAATATTAACAGTAAGTTGTGCATAAAATAAGAATTGCAGTGAGTCGTAGTAAATACAATTAAAAAAACTGATATTATAACAGCGTTTATGAATTATTAATAAAAATATAAGATTTTTTAAATGACATTTAATATTGCAAAAAGACAATAAATTTTTACTGATAATGGTTATGACGTATTATCTTTTAAACGTTGATATGTAATCGCTTTGTCATAGCATTGAAATCAAGCTTGACTTTTATCTAGATGATTCGCGGTTAAACGCCAGTTGAAAAATCATAATTCAACTGTTTAAATGTTTTTATAATAGCATTGCTTTGATACAAATGTATTTGGCTGCAGGCTACAATTGGTATACTAGAAAATATCATTGACGTCATCGCCGTCACAAAGAAGTCAACAATATATCAGGTATAATTATGTAAAATTTTCCTTATTCTTATAATGTGAGTCACTACCTATCACAATATAGCACAATCTACGAGATATCTCGAAGTCAGCTGATATGAAGTGATCAATATCAAGATAAAAGAAGATAAGATATTACAGAGTAATAAATTATATATATATATATAGCTAAATAAAATCTCTAAAATAAGAAAACACAAAGAATACGAAAAAGCATCGAGATATATCTAAAGAGAGTACCTTATACTTGTACTATTATTAAACCCTAAATTACTGAAGTCTATAATAATAAATAATAATTTGTATTGACGTTCTTGTCTCTATCAGTCATTTCTGCACTGAAATTTTATCCAAGAAAAGTTTTCTTCTAATCTAATTAAGAATTATTTAAGCTCTGAACATTGATCTAAACGTAAAATGTACCGATTATTAATCATCATAAACACATCGTTGCGCTTTCAAAATTTTTTTTCTTTAAGAAAGAATATATATCTAATTTAATTCTTCTTTTTTTCTTTAAGATTTTGCGACAATTGCTCATCGTGACACAATATAAACATGCAGAATAAATCAAATATTTATACAATAAACAATGCGCCACCATCATACGCGGAAGCAACAGGAGCACTTGCATCAAACACACAAAATCCACAATTAGACCAAACATATCCACATACAACAATCTATCCCTCTCCGTCGGGGCCGTTTTCGCATCCATATTCGCCGAATTATGGATATCAAAATTTGGATAGAGTGCCTCCTGTTCAATCATCTTATCCACAATATGAGTCAACGGAACATCAAAGTCAACCAACGGAAATAATTTACAACAGAACAGTAATAACAAGAACGAATACAAGAGACAAATGTAAGTTAAAATAAATGTCATAAACAAGGACAGAAAGCAAAGTACACTATGAAAATTAGAAAAAAGCGCTATTAAAATTCGCTATATTTTTTAAGATGTAATCAAAGAAAGATTTACTTAATTTTGAAACGTCAGACAATATTGTTATAAAATAATCATTATCTTGGCATAAATAACTATATATCAAATAGAAATATTTACCACATTATAAAATTAATTTATCGTGACAGTTATATATATGCATTACTACAATCCACTCATACATTTGATGTGTCTGTGTTTAAAGAATATATAATTTATATATATGTGTGTATAATTTGATACTCTCTTATTTTAATAGTATAATAAGTTTTTTGTTTGTATCAGCATGCAAAAGACTTTTTCGACTGATGTGGATAATAGGTGTATTGGCATCTGTAGGAGCTCTTGTTAGTCTAATACTTAGAGCTATTCGATAAGTAAGTAAGAAAAAGATAAAATGTATTATATTATAATATATATTATAAAAATGTATTAAATTATTATATCAACAAATTAATTCGTTCATCGTATAATTGTGGTATAATATCAATATTAAATCTTGTGATTAATTTTATTTGGTAACTGCGAAGATTATTTTGTAATTTTTTCATATAATTAAGCACGTCATATATATATATATATAATAATATAATTTTTAATATTAACTGTAATATAAAATCTTAAACCTAACAGAGAAAGAGAAGAACTTATACGTGTGATTATTTGAGGAACAGTCAATTTTGTCATTGCGATTTCTATATCGTGTAATTGTTAAGACAAATGAATATTAAATATTAAGATAAATGAATACTTATGAGGAAATACAATTGCGATTATAGAGATGCAATAGATATATATACAAGCGTCTGTCCATACGTTAGTATTTTTTACCCGCATTAACCTGGACCCCCCACCATCGAAAATCAAATTCGCGATAGGTCAAAAATTTAGTGCTCTTTTGTTGCTAATTAGTTGCTCTAGAGCGAATTTTGTTGCTCCAACCGTTTAGCAGCAATAAAAAAAA